AGAGAAGAAGAAGAGGAAGCAGGAGAAGACGTTGTGATACCTCTGTTTCCTCTGCAGGAAACAGAGGAGAGGGTGTGTGTGACGCCGGGGAGGAGGAGGGAAGAAGAAGAGGAGAAGAAGAGAAGGGAAAGAAGGAGCTGCGGCTGCGGAGGTGGCAGCTGCAGCTGGAAGAGAAGGAGAGGAAGAGAAGGTGATGAAGAAACGAAGGAGAAGGAAGAGGAGAAGGGAAAGAAGCAGCTGCGGCTGCGGCTGCTGCAGACGGGGTTGCGGCCGCGGCGGCAGCGACTGCGTATGCAGCAGCTGTGTCTGCGAAAGAAGGGGAGGAAGAAGGCAGTGCGGTGGAAGAGGCTGCGGCTGTGGTGGCTGCGACTGCTACGTTGGCTGCGGCAGCGGTGGTGGCTGCAGCAGCTGCTTTTGGGAAAGAGAAAGAAAGAAAAGGGAAAAAAAAAAGGGGGGGGCCCGTGGCCGTGATTGCGACTGCGGTGGTGGCGGCTGCGTCAGCGGCAGCTGTGTTTGGGAAAGAAAAAGTAGGAACGAGAGAAGGGAGGAAGGAAGTAGTGCAGTGGAAGGGGCAGTGGTTGTGACAGCAGCTGCGGTCGTGGTTACGACTATGGTAGTGGCAGCGGCGATGGCTGCGACAGCTATGTTTGAAAAAGAAAACGAAGGAATGAGTGTAAGAGAGAGCAGATGACTATGTCTCTATGTTTTGCATGAGCTGTAGTTGTGGAGGAAAAAGAGAAGATATATGTAGAACACGAAACAGGGAGAGGACACGGAGGAAAAGTAGAAGGATTTGGGCTGACACCTTCTTTGGATCTTTGGATCAAAATCTTTGAAAGGCAAGTGTTTCGATCCTTTCTATTGCAAGTGTTTCGATCCTTTCTATTGCAAGTGTTCCGATCCTTTCTATTGCAAGTGTCATGATCTTTCCTTACTGTAATTTTATCTCTACATTTGCTTTGAATATGAGGAACTTTGAATTGTTCTAGCCTTGCATTTGATATATCTCCTGTTTAGACGTAACGATTCGAATCTGTGTAATTTTTGAGATTCTGACCTTTCTACCTTGTTATGGTTATAACTTCATGTATTGATATTTGATTTAGACAAAACTTATTTGATCAGAATATAGACTCATAAACCTTTCTTTTGATAGCTTATTTTAGGAATTCGGAGTAAGTTTGCCTGCCCAGTTTTCTGTTGAAACCGACCTTGTGAATTTTGTAAAATTGAGATTTGTTCTTTGATATTGGGTTACTAAATCTATGGTAACTCCTTGTTGGAAACCTTGATTCGTACGAAATTTATTTCATCAGAAACTAGAATGAAATATCTTTCTAATGATATATTTTCTGAGTAAAATTGGAGCACGATTGATAGTTTGATTCATTTGTTCAGTTGTATTTCTGAGTAAAATTGGAGCACGACCATAGCTCGATTTCTCATATTCTGGTTTCATTCTTTTGAAAATTGATGTCCTTTAGCTTTCTTATTCAATTGAGCTTTATATTACTGCTTTGAATTCTTATATGCTCTTGTCCTACATGTATTTGGATACCTAAATCTGTTATGTAAACTTCATGTTTGTATCGTAATGTTTCATAAAGGCACATGTACATTTCGTTGTTCCGCATGTGCTTCCGATATGTCCCAATTTATTGTTCATAATACCCTTTTGTACTCTGGTGTTTGTGGGATTATTTGGACCTTTGCCAGCAATGGTAAAGGGTATGTGCTTAGAGCCCGCGATGCTCTAGATTATGTTTGATGGTCATTCAGAAATGGATAGACCATATTATGTTTGGAATCCCACTTCACATTCTATCTGTTTGATATGAAATTCAGAGCAGACCTAGCACTTGGGCAGGGTGAGAGGGCTCGAGTAGGAAATGACTACCCGTGGATGGAGTCGAGAACTCATCACGGCATGGAGCCACCACTGAGTTAAACCTCACATGCACTATGCTAGGGTACGACGTCTGAGCTTCTGTTTCGTATTTTGTATTGATATGCTCCAAAATGTTTCCTATGCCATTGATATACATCAAAATTCTTCATATAACATTAATATGTTCCGAAATGTTTCATTTGCCATTGATATGCTCTGGAACATCTCGTACGCTATTGATATGCTCCAATTACTCTGTGCTCCATTTGCTATGAACTGATATGTTCTGAAATATCCTATTTGCCATTGATATGCTCCGGAACATCTCGTACACTATTGATATGCTCCAATTACTCTATGCTCCATCTGTTATGAACCAAATATGTTTTGAATGACATGTCACTTATGATTTTGTATCTAATGATAGGGTATCTTGAGAATTCTTTTATTCTGTCTTGCATTATGATACCCTACTTGTTTGAAATCGTTCTTTTTGTTCTGAATATGCTTTGTCACTTGCTGAGCTGTTTTTAGCTCACTCCGTTGTTATATAAAATCTTTCAGGTCAGCTTGTCACTCTTTGAGATGTTTGAATTGGGCTGAGGCAGTGGAGAGCTATTCAGAATTATGGGCAAGTCTTGTTGGTTATTATGTTATTGTTGTATAAGTATATTTTGTATGTAATGAAATGTTGTCGATGAACTGAAATGGATATACTGTGTAAAAGTGTTAGAAGATCTCTCTTATTTGAAATTTCGGAATGTTAAGTCTAATTTATGATGATCTGAACTTGTGGTAAATGGTTGGAGTTATGATTGTATAAATTACTTAGCTTGTGGATTTATAAATGTTGTTCATGTCTGTTAAGTTGGCTTGGGTTGCCATAAATGTGAATTATCGAGTGATGTGATATATGATTATAAACTGCATAGGTTTTATAGATGTGAATTTGATAGAATATTTTTCAGTGTCCTCAAATATTAGTTTGGATCTGGATTGGTTTGTGTTGAAATTGTTTTAATATCATGGATATTTTTGAGGAGCGTGACAACCTGAGCTTTGATGGCCATCCTTGGGACATATTGTATGTCAAATTCTCCTAACTTGGCCGACCATTTGAGCATTCATCCATATATGTCGAACTTGGACAAGAATTATCGTAGCAGTTAGTCGGTCACTACTCTTATCAAATAGGCTTGGAAATAGGGATGTAGCTTCCGAGCCATCTGGATGAGCGCCAAAGCTAGCTTCTCCACTGGTTGGTATCGCATCTTGGCGCCGCCGAGGATGTGGCTTACGTAGTAGACCGGTTGTTGCACTCCAGAATCTTCTCGAGTCAATATAGAACTGACTGTGTGCTCAGAGGCCGCGAGGTGGAGATTGAGCGGCTCACCAGAGGAGACCGCAATGTCAGGGTAGCTGGGCCAGGTGCTCCTTAAGCTGCTCAAAGGCCTCTTTACATTCTGAGGTCCATCTGAAGTCCTTTGGATTCTTCAGTATCCGAAAGAAGGGGAGGCATTTGTCCCTGGAACGGGAGAGGAACCAAGCCAAGGCAACGAGCCTCCCGGTCAAGCACTGCGTCTCCTTCACCGAGCAGGGAGGTTGCATGTTGATGATGGCTTGAACCTTCTTCGGGTTTGCATCTATTCCCCTCCTGTGGATGATAAAGCTGAGGAATTTCCTTGAGCTGACCCCGAAGGCACACTTGGCAGGGTTGAGACGCATGCCGAACTTTCGCAATGTCCTGAATGTTTTGACGAGATCTACTAGATGTGTTCGGGCAAACTTGCTTATTATGATTATGTCATCAACGTACACCTCCATGTTCCTCTCGATTTGGTGGGTGAACATCTTGTTCATCATTCTCTGGTAGGTTGCCCCGGCATTCTTCAGCCCGAATGGCATGACCTTATAGAAGTAGACACCTTGGTTTGTGATGAAAGCAGTGTGTTCCTGATCCTCTAGTGCCATCTTGATTTGGTTGTACCTTGAGAATGCATCCAGGAATGAGAGGAGCTCGTGCCCTGAAGTCGTGTCGACCAACTGGTCGATCATTGGGATTGGATAGCAATCCTTTGGGCATGCTTGATTAAGATCGGTGTAGTCAACACACATTCTCTAACTTCCATTAGGATTTTTAATAAGAATTACATTCGACAGCTATCGTAGGTATTTTACTTCGATGATGAATCCTACTGCCAAAAGTTGCTCTACCTTATCATCCACTACCCTTTGTCAGTCGAGCTCCAGCTTCCACGGTCGCTGCTTTACCGGTCACGCTTGGGATTGGTATTCAAGTGGTGTTGCACGACCACCCAGTCAATCTTGGGCATGTCCGCCGGCGATCAAGCAAAGACATCAGCATTTTCAACTAGTAGGTTGATGAGTTGCTCTTGCTCCTCCTCCGAGAGCTCTGACCCAACCTTGATGACTCTGTCTGGTCGGTCGTAGTGTAGCAGGACTTCTTAAGTGTGCTCGGTCGGTTCTGGACGTTATAACAGCTTGGTGACATCCTGAGGGTTGATGATGGAGCGTTCGTGCTTTGGCTTCTTGGGCAATGCAACAGCTGCTTGGTAACATTGTTGGGATTCTCAAGGGTCGCTCCTTGCTTCCCTGATCCTAGCTCGGGTTGGGAATTTCATCGCCCGGTGGTATGTGGAGATGATAGCCCTGAGTTTGTTGAGGGTTGGTCGACCCAGAATGGCATTGTATGCCAAGGGGAGCTCCACCACCATGAAGGTCAGCATGACTATCTTGGTCTTCGGCTCTTCCCCCAAGGTGACTGGTAGGATGGTGGTGCCGAGGGATAAAATGGAATCACCTGTAAACCCGGTAAGCATCGATAGCATCGGCGTAAGATCTTCCTTAGTCAGGCCAAGCTTCTGAAAGACATCGAAGTAAAGGACGTCAGCGGAGCTTCCGATGTCCATCATGATCCTTTTAACCTGAGCATTGGCGATTCTGGCTGAGATCAACAACACATCGTCATTCTCGAGGTACTCAGTTTCCCCCACCGGGATGGCGATTTCCGGCACTTGTGGTTGCCTTAGATGCTTTTCCATAACTGCTCAGGTGTAAGCCTTTCGTCCTACCATGCTATCCCCACCTGATGTTAGGCCTTCACTAATCACATCAATCTGCTTCTTAATCGGACTCGAGGGGTGTGGCAATAATTCCCCTAGCCTTCTAACATTGTGACCCAGGTGTCCCCGACGGATGAGCTCCTCGATATGGTTCTTCAAGTCATGGCACTCCTTAGTGTCATGTTTGTAGTCGTGGTGAAACCAACAGTACTTTGAGCGATCTCTAAGCTCGTGTGGGGCCTTCATTGGGTTAGGTGCCTTCAAGAGTCCCTTCTTCCTAATTTATAGGAATATCTCTGTCTTGGAGGAATTTAAAGGCGAGAGAGGGGGCCTTGGGAGCGAAGTGTCGGGCCTATCGATCCTTCTCCTTAGCGGGACCAAGGCTTGCCCTTGGGGCGGTTCCGCTCGTGGCCTTTTATGCTCCTCGCACTTTTCTGCCATCAGCGCCTTGGCAGCTATGTATTGGTTTGTATGTTGAAGCATCTTAGGGATAGTCATCGACGGTCGCTCGACCAACGAACAGAAGAATCTGGAAGGCTGAAGTCCAATCAAGAATGCCTACATTATCAAAGAGGGATGAGCATCGGGAAGCCCCCGGATTTTAGTAGCAAAATGAGTCACAAAATGAGAAAGTGGCTCGTCATCCTTATGGTTGAGACCGAAGAGTAGGGCCACAGACGGCTTTGGTCGTACGTTGGCCAAGAAGTTGAGCTTGAACTCTTTGGCCAACTGGTCGAAGGAGGCGATCGAGGCCGGTCTAAGTCGACTGTACCACATCTGAGCCGGGCCTCGAAGCGAGGTGGGGAACGCCCTACACCTGAAGGTATCCAAGGTGCCATATAGGGCCATCTGGGCCCGAAAGGTGGTGGGTGACATGCTCCGTCGGGTCAGAGCCGCTGTCATAAGCTTCGAGCACAGGGAGGCGAAAGTTAGGAGGGATAGGCTTGTCCTGAATCTTCGGTGTGAAGGGTGATCCTCTTGAAGAGGCCTCACCGAGCTCTTCTTTAGACTTATGAAACTCTTATTGAACCTCATCTAGGCGCTGATTGACTAAGCATAACTAAGCCCGAAGAGAGTCGATTGAGTTAGACGATAGCGTGTCGGGCTCGAGGCTCCTAGAGCAGGGGCGCCGGGGGTTCAGCGTGATGTGCATAGGCGTCGGCCTCAGATTCGACCATTCCTCGGGCGACGAGGCAATGTTCGTTGTCAGGGACCGTTGAGGGGCCAAGGGTGGTGCAGGAGAGGGTGGAGGTTGCGTGGGATCAAGGGGCAATGACTCCCATTGCGGCATTTGTAGGAGCGTCGGGAGTTAGGTAAGGTGAGGAACGAGGGGAACGATGGTTTACATCATCCCCAACAAAACTTGGACTTGGTGTGTCAGGCTAAGGAACGCCTCGGCGAAGATGGAAGGTTGAGCGGTAGTGATCCCAGGAGGCGACAACCTCGAATCAGTGAACAGCCGCCAATAGTGGCCCGGGATTGCCGTGGAGCCGTTCGCCTCGTGCCCCGGGGGGGGGGGGGGGGTGCGCGGGGGAGTTGTTCTTCGAACACAAGAGTTGAGTGGGTCGGGAGGTGCTCGTTGCCCAAGTGCTTGCCCAGGTTAATTGATTGGGGCTGGTCTTGCGACATCGAGGCCCTCATTCTAGCGCCAAAATGTTGGTGAACCTTTACACCGTGACCGAGATGTCAGCATGGCTCGATCTAGTCCCGGATGTTCAAGGTTGCCCACACGGATGCTCGGGTGGTGTGGGCGAGCGTCGGGTTGAGTCGGGTTCGAACCTCGTCCCTTGAGCGCGATCTCCCTTCTTGGCCAGTGGCTTCCTTCTCTGCCGCTGGGCTCCTGCACATAGGTCAAGGTTGGGAGGGGGATTTCCCTACTCGACCCCTCTTATGTTTAAGTTAGCTTTCCATTGAATGAGTGAGAGTATGATGCTTGAGTGGACCAACCACCTTGTGTTGGCCAAGCGATGGGATTTTATACCTGCTTATGGGGGTTGGTTGTCCTTGCCTCTTAATGGCCATCGTCCTCTTAAGCGGGAAACTCATACCCTTTATGCTGACACCAGTTATCCTGCGTGGCATTGCACCCGAGTAGAGCTGTCCCTGCCTTTGCGAGGCAGAGGCATACTCGAGCGGTGCCGTTCCATTCTTTGTGGGGACGACATCATACCCGAGCGGTGCCATTGTCACACCCGAGCGGCACCATTCTACTCTTTGCAGGATGGCATCATACTCGAGTGGTGTCGTACCAACTTTTGCGGGGGCGGTATCGTACCCGAGCGGTGTCATCGTCACACCCGAGCGGTACCATTCCACTCTTTGCAAGATGGCATCATACCCGAGCGGTGCGGTCCCAACATTTGCGGGGCGGTATCGTACCCGAGCGGTGTCGCCATCATACCCGAGCGGTGCCATTCCACTCTTTGCAAGACGGTATTGTATTGATGTGGTCTGCCACATCGATTTCAAAACTTTTCATTGGTGCTGATGTGGTTGTGGTCGATTACCTTGGGGGCGTGCTACCAAACTGCGCCCTATCAATTAGAATTCTGTAAATATTGAAATACCAATGCATCATATCCTAAGGTAATCATTATGATGGGCAATATGTATTGAGATTTTAATATTATAATTTTAAACATTTCAAATTCTGAACATTAACTATCAGAGGTCGGTGAAGAAGAGAAAATAGTTGCTAAACATGCCAATGGTTGCAAATCATACCCTAAACAGTGCTTTGGCTCTTTTCTAAATCTGAGTCTAGAAAAGGTAAGCCAAGTTTCTCGGTATCATCCAGACGAACTCGTCAGTACAAGCATTTCATTCCAGATGATGATTGCTATGAACACATGATGAATGAGAAGAATTAGAGTTGTGGAGGGTCCCTGGTAAAAGTCCTCCTCAGGGCGGTGCATACACCAATACATGCTTTTGATATCTTCTGTTAGATATATGTATATAATATAGGAAGTAAATTAATTAACAACTGCGTAGTAGTTGGAAGATAGCCTTTGTGTATGAATGATATGGTGTCAATAATACGCCGCCGTGTCTGCACCGACGAGTTTCGTAGTTGGCATTCTGGGCTCACAAGTGTCAAACTTTGACTTGTCGAGCTCTAAACCATTGCCAATGGCTACCCCTGTTAAGCTGTGTCTTAGACTAGAAATCTGGAAGCCGCCATGTGCATGCATGATTGATTGGTGCTACCTGGCCACAGGAAACCAAAAGTACTAGCCAGCCCCATACCATATCAATCTTTCATTTTAGGTGACCAATCATGGTCATCAACGTTAGAATTCCCAATGAGAAAAAAGAGAGCCGAGCAATCATATGTCGATTTCATGTCAAGTCAATGGAGAAAACAAACCCCACGATACTCTGCTGTGTCGGTGAGTATTGCAATACCGTAGACGAGCCTCTGCTGATCGATTGATTTGGAATGGGCTCCCCATGTAAGCAATTCCGCAGGAATTGAATCCTTCCTCGCCTGACTATAAGAACAGAAAAGAGGGCGGACGAGAAAGAGGGAACCGGCAAGGAGGAGGAGGGAAGAAGAAATGAAGCCTCACAGGACTTTTCCCAGGCCTGAGCCTAGGAGGACAGGAAATGGCTTCATCATCGCATCGATGCTTCTCTCTGTGTGCATCCTCTCGCTCATCAAGGCCCGTTATTGCTCAGCTCCATATGGTCTGTCCTTCACTTCACTTCTCCTTTTGGATGTCGTCTTCCTCGACTGCGACAGCTCTTCTGTTGTTCGGTGAACAACGCTGCTGTTCTTGTTGCAGGCAAGTCGCGGGAGTCTTCGGAACTGGAAATAACCATGGGAGCTATCAGGATGCTGGCAGCTAAGAGTGGCGATCTTGCTCTTAAAGGTAATTTTAGTAGCACTGTTTTGGGATGGAAGTCATCGGACAAACTCGATAGCTTAAAAGTAGAATGAAGACTGCAAAAGGAAAAAAGGGAGGAGGATGAAGAAGAGATGGAATGAGAAGTTGAATCAAAATGCATAACGTATGTGGCATTGTGAAGAATCTGCTCTGTTCGCAGGGCGTGAAGATGGAGAAGACTACAGGCTACTGTTGGAAGCAGTGAGCAGAGACAAAGCTGCTATGGAGGTCAAGAAGCCGGTATGCATCGAAACAAGCCGGAGATCTGATGTTTGCGAGGCGGAAGGCGACTTAAGGGTGAGAGCAAGCGCCCAGACCATCTTCGTAGACCCTTTCCTCACAAGTCAGGAATGGAAGATGAAACCTTACGCCCGGAAGCACGACCAGCCCGCTCTTGCTCACGTCAAGGAATGGACGATCAGGCCGTTCACGGAGCAGGAAGCACCGCCGAGTTGCACCGAGAACTACACCGTCCCCGCCGTGGTCTTCTCCGTCGGCGGCTACACCGGAAACCTCTTCCACGACTTCACCGACGTGATAGTCCCTCTGTTCATCACCTCCACACGGTTCCACGGCGAGGTACAGTTCGTCATTGCCGACGCGAAGCCCTGGTGGCTGAGCAAGTTCAGCTTGCTTCTCAAGCAGCTGTCCAAGTACGAGATCATCGACGCCGACAACGACCGAGATGCGGTGCGGTGCTTCCCCCGAGTGATCGCAGGACTCGACTTCCACAAGGAGCTCGGGGTCGACCCCGCCAAGGCTCCCAGCGGGTACTCCATGACGGACTTCAAGGAGATGCTGAGGAGAGCGTACGGACTAGAGAGGACGAGGGCGGAGCCGTCGGGTGACCGGTGGGACGTGAGGAGGAAGCCGCGGCTGCTGATCATATCTCGCAGGAGCTCAAGGGTGTTCTTGAACGAGAGGGGGATGTCGGACATGGCCATGAGCCTGGGCTTCGACGTGAGGATCGCCGACCCCGATGTGACCACCGACCTGGGGAAGTTCGCGAGGCTGGTGAACTCCGCCGACGTGATGATCGGAGTCTACGGCGCCGGGCTCACCAACATCGTCTTCCTCCCTGCGGGTGCCGTGTTCATCCAGGTGGTTCCCATGGGCAACCTGGAGTGGCTGGCGAGGGACACCTTCGAAAAGCCATCGCCGGACATGCAGATCAAGTACATGGACTACCGCATCCAGGCGGACGAGAGCACGCTCAGCGATCAGTACCAGAAGGACCACCCTGTGTTCACAGATCCTCAATCGATCCACAAGAAGGGTTGGAGCGAACTCAGCAAAGTATACTTGGAGAACCAAGATGTGAAGCCACATTTGGGCAGGCTCAGGATCACACTGCTGGAAGCTCTCAAGTTCCTTCCGCACGGCCGCAAGACGACGACTCAGTGACTGCTTTCTTCTTTTTTCTTTCAGGGTTACACTCGATTATTTCTTGTAAGAAGAATGAATAGTTAGGTAGATAAATAGATAGCTGATATTGTCATGTTTAATAAATTGGAGCATAGTGATGTTTAAAGCTGAAAGAAATGATTTCAGTTTTGATGAAATGTCATGTTTAGGTTGTGAGAGGCATCTGTTTGCCATATACCTCTGTCTCATTGCGAGTATAATTAATTTTATTTTCTTGTTCATTCTCCTTTTCTTAAAAGGAGGGTGAGGCTATACTTGATATCAACGACTGGTTAGATAAAATCTGAGTCCGGATGTCCAATTAAGGGAGCTTTTGGTGGTCTCTATCTACCATCCCCTTTTGGCTTTTCTCAATTCTATCGAAACAAAATTTTTTTTCTTCTCTCTTGTGCTTATCAGATCAGGGGAGACAATCTCATGGTTTCTTCACCGAATCTAAATGTGCATTTAGCAGATCGAACCAAAAGACTAGAAATTGTAGATTGGAAGGAAATATTTGAGTACATAGGCTTCATCCCTTCCTTGGTCCTTCTTCCAAGAAATGAAGGCTGTTATGTCTGCTGCTGAACCCCCTAATGTCCTCCAGATTCTACCAAAGACTAATCGAAGAACAATTGATATTGGCGTGAAGTTTCCACTCTGTAGTTAGAACAGAGTTCGGACTAAAAGTCAACCATTGCAATACGATAATGAGATATAGCTGAAACGCCAGGACCAAGCTAAGTAGCCAATTATTGTTGCTCTACACGACAGCAATCCCTGCACAGATCGAACACTCATGCATGAACCCTGGAGTCCCACCGTGCGGTACTGTCAGCTCGAACGATACTCCCAAGATGGCATATATGTCCACGGAGACCAATAAGCAAAGTGGATGCAAGATTTCAGATGATTCGGTATTAATCATCTACGTCAAATAATTAAAATTTTTGCTATATCAGTGGTATAGATGATTTTGGATTAAGCAAGCTGGAGACCGTCCAATTCCAACTTGATTCTTTTATGAGTTGGGCTTTGGAAAATTCTCCGCACTAGTCATCCGATTTTGGCAAAACTAAATCGGACTGGTAATATCGATAGCGTCCTTCTAACATTTAAGTTAGATTCAAGTCTAGTGAATAGGACTAGTTAGACAATTGAGTATTATTATATTATATCGAGTGTACATATGTAAATCTCCTTTTATAGTAGATGCTTGATATAGACGTTACAAAATTTGTTGGTAAAGATCGATCGTAACCACCTTTAATGACCTTGGGCGATTGTACTTGTTTGTTAGATCAATTGGAATTATTTTGATGGGTGTGAGGCCACTTGCTGGCTTTACCTGTTAGACAAGTGTCAATCAAGGACTCCCACACGTGACTAGGCAGTTGAGCCCTAACAAGTATCTTGAATATATATGTGTCAGTTGTATTGGATGTTGTTATATCAAACATGTCACTTTTATTATAACATATGCTCTCGACTTTCTAGATCAACGAGCATCACGAAGTCGAGTCTAGAAGTACTATTTTTTATGACCCTTTATTGATGCAAGTAGGGAACGTTGGAGTACTTTACCCAAATTCTCCATAAACTTAGCACGAGTCAACATGCCCAACTCAACCTACATGACTTGGTTAGCTCGACTCGATCTTCTTGACTCAACTTAGTTGTTCTAACCTAGTTTTTATGATATATTCTTTATCAATTCAATATATCAAGAGTAGTGATGAGGCAGAAGGATACGATTTGTCCTGACGGTGCATTGGGACATAGCGGAAGAGCCCTCTACAAGGACAACATAGCTTCAACAATTACTGAAGCTCTGCATGAGGATCGAAGCTAGTGTTAAATTTAATAAGCAATGGTGTGATGATTCAAGAAAAACAAGTGTAGTGGCTTAAGAAACTTTGCTAAGTGGCACACTATGAGTTGTATAACCAAGCGCGAAGGCACACAAAGGACTATGGAGCCAAGTGTGGTAGCACAATTAGGTCATGTGGCCGGGTGTAGCGGTGCACGAAGGGCCACAAGACAAGGTGCGATGGTGTAATAGAGTCATATAACTAGGCGCACAAAGGGCCGTAGCCAAACAAAGTGGCCTGATAGGGTCAACCAATCGACGCAATAACACACAAAGGGCTGTAAGGTTGAGTGTGATGGTGTTGGTGTGTGTCACCAACACTACCATCATACGATGGCGCGAGGGTCCAACTGATGCATGTGCTAGGCATGCCATGTCACTAGTGAGTGGGAGAATCTGAGTAGATCCGGATACAACTACATGTGTCGTACCGACTTGAAGCAAAGAGGGGTCATAGTCAAATGACCCGTTGACGCATGACCATTACATAAATAATGTTGAATTCAATCATGATCATAATAATGATCTGTCTAACCACTATGACCCTTGGATGGTGCCATGCATCCCATGCCTTGCTGATGGCATCCCATGTCCCACTTTACTTATTGCATTTGAAAGTTGAAAGGACAGTTGAGTAGGTATAACATTATCTTCCTCTCTTAAAAATGCCCATCAGTTACTTCAGGGATTTCTCATATGTGCTTGCAATCAAAGTGTTTGCAAACAAACTCTCTAGGCATCCTAACAATCCAACTTAAAGGTTTACAATATTTTCCTTAGCTTCCTCTTCCGACACCCTAGACTCAAATAGGATATCATCCTCATCACCACCCTAGGTGTCGGCAAGGGAAGCTTTAGTCTTGGAAAGAGTCGAGTCAACCATTTTGATGAAGGCAAATCGATCTGGTAGTGTGGCTTCACCACCTAGTGCAGAGTCCTTCGACTTAGATTCAACTGTGAAAGTCTTCAACCTAGAGATTCTCTAGAAGGTCTATCACATTCTAATCGAGTTTAAGCTAGTACTTACTCGATTAGATAACTGATCTTATGTGTCATGTCATATATTTTGTACTTAACATGGATGCATTGAAGGTGGGTCTTTATTTTCTCCTTCATCCATTTTTTATTGAGACTTTCAACAATTGAAAGTTTCTACTACCTAGATGATGCTAAATTCTTGGTGTTTTCTTGTGACGTTTGTCGAGGAGTGTACGAATATATATATCTCCTCATCCTTGACCAATTTGTTTGTTAGCTATAGTCTATACCTTAGAGAGTCAATATATTTCCTCTCCACTCTACCCGGTTGTCGGGTTAAGGGCGCTTTGACCTCTTGTAAAAGTTGAAAGATGAGGTATTTTTTTATTCTTTTAAGATATGATTGACCAATCAATTTGAATTAGTCTAATTGAAAGTTTTATAATGTCATCTTGAGATTACACAGGACGAAAATAGGATAATTTAAAAGACTGTCTATAACCCTATTCGAGTGAGCGAGCAATGACTCGTTAATGTAGGCCTAAGCTCAACTCCTCCAAGTAAAGAATTGAAATTATTATTACTTAAGAACTTATGTAAATTGCCTAACATTTTATCTTTCTTGTGGAGATATGATCTTTAAGGGAATATTCTTGAGTACAACCATTGATGAGGTTGAGGAGAGTGCACAAAAGGTACTATCTTCAGTGCAATTAATTTCCCAAAAATCGACTAAAAAAAAAATAGGTTGTACCTGAGTTGGCTTCTAGCTTGAGCAATCCAAAATCAATATTAATAGATTGATACTAAAAGGAGAGTCGACTATTATGTCTCAAGAAAGTCTTGTAGGATTGTTTCGACGAACCTTAAAGACCTAAATCCCTCGAAATTTCAGACCTCAACTTCGATCGCTCCAAACGCTCTTGGTGTGGATCCCCCAATTTCGTTAGTTCTAAATCAAGGTTCGATGAGTGTCAACTAGACAAAACCCACTTTATAATTCTGACCTATTTCATTGACATTTTTAAGAATCGATTTTCATCTAATCACCTCTATGGCAACTATATTCATCCTTGTAAAAACTTTTTATACACTACTTCGACAAATGTAGGCTCTTATAAGGATAATCCAAACTGTCACTCTATACCTTCCTCAAATTATAAAAGCAGCTCAATAAACTTAGCCCATATTTGTCCCTCATAGTCCTGCTCTTGATCCGCCACTTACACCCATCCCTAGCCAAGTAGCCAAGTCATTCCTAGCTCAAACCTAGGAACATCTATAGTAGATCCAAATCGAGTCTCATTGTTAGTATTATAATTCATAAATAAATTTATTAGCCAATTGAATAAACTTCCAACTAAAGTCATAGACCGCTTATATATAATGGATTAACAATTGGTGAACATTCACAGTTAAATAAAACAAGAAAAGTGATAAATAAATGGATCCTTATTTACAATATTTGTTTACCCAAGATATAAAGAATCCATTCTACAAAACTTATTCTCTATGCTGAACATCTACGAAGGGAAAACTAACCCATTAGAGCACATGACCATATTTACTTCTCAAATGACCTTATGTGTTATATTTTCCTGCTCACCTTAAAAAGAGTGGCCTATGAATGGTTTGCTAAGCTACATTCAGAATCAATTTCATCATTCAAATAATTAACCAAGGAGTTTGAGCTTAGTTTTATTAGACTCTTGAAAAAACCTACCACTTCTTTCTTAATTATATGCTAGGAAGAAAAGGAATCTTTAAAAAGTTACACAATGAGGTTTAATGATAAAATATGGTAAGTCGTCAACCTGACACCTTCCATCCCCATCAATGCATTTATTGATGGTCTCAAACTCTTAAGATTTTTCTATAAAATCATCACTAATGACTTTTCTAAAATTATTATAAAAAATTAATTATCATATTGCTGTTAAGTCGGTTATCATCGGTAAAAAGATGGGTGAAAATAATAAAACAATAAAAGAAGAAAAGATAATATGCCCAAGCTCCTTGAAAACGTTGATGAATGATAAACCAAAAGGAGATCGACCCCCTTCTTAGCGGGAGTTCACATCACTCAATACTTCTCACATCAAGGTATTCATGTGGATCTAGGAGAAGAGACTACTAAGGGTGTCTTAACCTCCGAGAGCCCCACTCATATGAAGAAATATAAGTAAATACTATCGCTTCCACTAGAGTCATAGACATGACACCAAAAGTTACTATACCCTAAAGGAGTAAATCAAATATTTGATTCGAAAATGATACCTTAATAAGTTCCTCCATCGGATATAAGAATATTCATTGAAACCTCGAGCCTAGTTGAGTGATAGGTAGACATGATAGTTGGCAAACCAATAGTTGAGGGTAGTAGTTCTTTCGCTCAGAAGTCCTATCCCTCTTGATGGCGAGCCAACCACTAG